TTAAAATTATTTAACAATCTATTACTTTGCTGATGTGATAAACTGTAAACAAGTTCTTATATTATATGTTGGATTCTATACAGGAAAAAAAAAAGACAGCTCTATAACTCAAAGATTCTGATCACTTTAGTAGTTGTGAGAACCAAGAGAACAAACAATTTTTCCTTTTATCTCAGACAAGATTCCTGTGCTAAGAGAAGGAAAACTACCTGTGGTAGGAATTGGAAAGCATCTGTGTGGTGTGGCAACAGGTATGTAAACACACTAATAATTTCTCAATCAGTTCGTGAAGTTCTAGCTTAAATTGTCCCTGATCATTTTTAAAGGTCTCTTCTAAGTAGTTTAGTTTTTCTTGTAGGGACTTTTTTGTGTGTGGGTTTTTGCCAATACTGGTCTTGAACTCAAGGTCTTATTCTCTTATGTGGCTTTTTCACTTAAGGCTCATGCTCTACCACTTGAGCCGCGCTTCCCATTGCTAGTTTAGATTTTTTTCCTTTAATTTTTATTTATTTTTTTAATTTATTTAATTTTTACTCATTTATTTTCTGCTGGTCCTGGGGCTTGATCCTCCAGCCTAGGCACTGTCCCTGAGCTTTTGTGCTCAAGGCTAGTGGACTACCACTTGAGACACAACTCCACTTCCAGCTTTTTGTGGTTTATTAGAGATGTGAGTCACACAAACTTTTCTGTATGAGTTGACTTCAAACTGTGGTCATCAGATCTCAGCCTCCTGAGTAGCTAGGAGTATAAGCATGAGCCACCAGCACCCAGCTTTTATTTTTTTAAGTAGTTATACAAAAGGGTCTCAGTTCCATAAGTCAGATGAATACAAAACATCTTGATCAGTGTCACCTTTTCCATCATTCTCCCCCACTTTGTTTTAGTTTCGATTTTTTTAACAAAAAAAAGGTTCTATTTCCTGGTAATTTTTGTTTTTGTGTTTATAATTTATCTTCATAGTGACTATATTCAATTCTGGAGCAAAATACAGGGATTTTCCACCTATCCACTTATTTGGGCTATTTTGAAGGAAGTACTTGGAAACTTTTGGGAAACTTTTCTTTTGTTTTTGGTTGGTCATAGTGCTTGAACTCAGAGCCTGGGTGCTGTCCCTGAGCTTTTTCACTCAAGCCTAGCTCTCTACCATTTTGAGTTACAGCACTTTTGGTTTTCTGGTAGTTAATTGGAGATCAGAGCCTCAGGACTTTCCTGCCCAGCTGGCTTTGAGCCATGACCCTCAGATCTCAGCCTCTTGAGTAGCTAGGGTTACAGGCATGAGCTATAGTTGCCCAGCTCCAGAGATAGTAATTTATTATTATTGACCACAGTGCCTAGTCTATGTTAGTGCTCCCTAAATGTCAGCCATTGTTCCATCATCCTCACAGGGGAACGTGGAGCTTCTACTTGATATGATTCAAATAGACAAAATGACTTTAAGTAATATATATTTGGGTTGTTGCTCATATTTTTAGACTTTATCATATACCTTGTCTTATTTAACCTTCATTAAAAATAAATCAGTTCCGGGTGGGAAGGCGACTCAGTGGTAGAGCCTTGCCTTGCATGCATGAGGCCCTGGGTTCGATTCCTCAGCACCACATAAGCAAAAAGAAAAAAGCTGGAAGTGGCGCTGTGGCTCAAATGGTAGAGCGCTAGCCTGAAGAGCTGAGGGATAGCATCCAGGCCCAGAGTTCAGGCCCCACGACCGGACCCAAAAATAAATAAATAAATAAACCAGTTCCATTATGGAATGGGGAGAGCACACATTTTGTTGCTCCTCCTGTGTAATCTGCGTTTCTCAAAGGAATAGCATTTGATAGCTCTCTCCCATGTCCCTTAGATTACTCTAAATCCCCTTTTCCCCCCTTATCTCTGCTGCAGTTTTTATTCTACTTGAAGATCTGTCTCCTCCTCTTTGTGACAATACCTTCCCATTTCTTTCCCTTCCTCAATGCTATTCTTTGTTTTGTTTTTTGTTTTGGGGTCCAGTTGTGGGGCCTGAACTCTGGGCCTGGGCACTGTCCCTCAGCTCCTCAGCTCAAGGCTAGCGTTCTACCACTTGAGCCACAGCACCACTTCCGGCTTTTTTTTTCTGCTTATGTGGTGCTGAGGAATCGAACCCAGGGCCTCAGGCATGCAAGGCAAGCGCTCTACCACTGAGCCACTTTCCCAGCTCCTTTTCTTTCACGGTCTTCCCACTCTACTTGTCCTTTAAATCTAATGTGCCTTGTGCATATTTAAATTTTTATTTTTAAATTAATAAAAATTTTTTGTAGCCCTAAGATATAAAAATAGATATTAAAAGATCTGTTATTTCAAGACCAACCTGAGCAGCATAGTGAGACCTCCACCCTCCCCCTCAAAAAAAAAAGTCTGGAAAGAGAGAACTTACAGGATCATAGAGGAACTCTTTCTCCAAATAACTGTTCCCAGCATTTGTTGACTGAAATTCATATATTGAGCTAAATTTACTAATGAAATATCAGACTATTTAATATCCAGTTTTTACATGTTAGGGTAATAAAATTTAAGAATAAGAATTTGGTTTTTTTAATTAATTGGACACAGCATGACAATCTCATCAGAGGAAAAAGTAGGTTTTGTAACAATTTATTTTATTGAACTTGCCAATCTATTTAGTTTTAAAATGTGTTAAAATATTTTCATTTTAACATGGAGTATATGCTCCCCTACATTTGTACATATTAATCATCATATGCTTTGCATATGAAAGGCCATCATTAAATATTTGCTGAATGAATGCACATACAGGAAGGCTACCCAATGAGGTCTACTTCCTACATTCTGAACCCTTTTTCTTAACTTCTCATTTATACTATTTGCTGTGAAAGTCTTACATTCCAAAATCAGTATCTTGAACATCTCATCAATATGCTAAGCAAAATTGTCTTTCTTCTTCATTTTCTTTGTGTTTCTTAAGCTCAAAACTCCTCCTGGAATGTAAGATAGGAAAAGAAAAAAAAGTTTTCTATGCCATTGACGTCCTCAATTAGGGTAGGAGAAATGAGAGACAAAATTGGACAAGAAATTGAGATTGTAGATCTTAAGCTCCACTTGTCGTTTTATTGGAAAATAGGTTCTTTGCAGAATAAAAGCAGAAAAGAACACATTTAAACAGCGTTGGTAATTTATGATAGAATTGGCACAAGTAGAAAGCTGATACGTTTGAGCAAAGTTGGTAATTTATGATGGAATTATTACAAGTATAAGGTAGGTAGCTTTTTGTTGTTCTTGTTTGGTTTTTAAAAGCCATAACGTTTAAGAAATGTGGAAAAATGCTTTTAAAGATGTTGTGGTTTGGGGGGGGTACATAATTGTGTTTTCAGATCTTGCATTACGATGTTTGGTTGAAACCTATGCTGCCTGTTATGAGAAAAGGAATGAAGAACCTTTAGCCAAACGCATAAAGAATGATAAAACAGAAAATGAAATTAACACTTTGGCCAAGGAAGGAAGTGAAAATAATGTCCCAGAGAAGTGGACCCCTGTGGCTGGCATTGTTATTGCACTCTGTTGTCACCACAGGTGTGAATGGAGACATTATGTGGGCAAAGAATATTTCAGGGGTCTAGGCCTTGGAGCAGTGGAATTCCACTATTTCCAGCGAATGAGTAGTTGGGCGACTTGTGGGATGCGGAAAGCGCCTTTGGAAGACACAGCTATTACTACAAAGAGCAAAGATCATCAAAGTGATGACAGTGAAGAACATGATGATGGAGAATATAGGATCACAGATGACAGCACTGATAATTTGCCTGGGTGAGTGACTATAAGACACAACATTGAAGAAGAAATACTGTATTGTTATAGTACAGTTATCTTCCCTTAATAATCTAGTAAAACACTCCAGCATGCCCAGTGGATACCTATAACTAGTGCTGTTACCAAAGCCAGTGTCCACTGCCATACCTCCATCATCAGTCTGATCCTGGAAATGACTGTTTAGGTGACTACTGAGCAATGGGCAAAGGAGAGATCATGTCCCATGTGGGAAGGATCCCATCAGGCTACTAAGAATGGCACTAATTTAAAATTTATGAATTATTAACCAGATGCTGGTAGTTTATGCCTGTAACCTAGCTACTCGGGATGCTAAGATCTGAGGATCATGGTTCAAAGTCAGCCTGTGCAGGAAAATCCAGGACACTATGATCTCCAATAAACTACTCAGATAAAGCTGGAAATGGCTCTGTATCTCAAGTAGGGTAGAACTCTAAGCCTTGATCAAAAAGAAGCTCAGAGACAATGCTCAGGCCCTGAGTTCAAGTCCTAGGACAGGCATAGAAAAAAATTACGAATTGTTTATTTCAGGAATTTTTCACTTCCAGTTAATATTTTCATAGTAATTGAACTTCAGATAAGTGGAACCAGAGAAAAATGAGAGGCTACTTTTCTTATCAAGGACTATTACCAACAATTTTTTCAAGAGTATTATTTTTTACAATCTAATTTTATTTCATGTGTGTGTAATGTGCCAGTACTATAGCTTGAACTCAGGACCTGGGTACTATCTTTTCACTTTTTTTGCTAAAGGCTAGCACTTTACCACTTAAGCCACAGTTCCACTTCACACTTTCTGGTACCTAATTGGAGATAAGAGTCTTATAGATTTTCCTGCCTGGGCTGGCAGGACATCCTCAAATCTCAGCCCCTGAGTATCTAGGATTATAGGAATGAGAACCTGCCTATTTTACAATCTAATTTAGAGTAGGTTAAATGGACATCCTTCTATTAATAATTTATAATTAATAAATTAATAATTTATACAATTTATATAATAATTGTAATAAGTTAATTAAATGTTTTGGGGCTGGGTGGGTATAGCTGAAAAAAATGTACGTACATCTTAGAAGGATGAGACAGCACCTTGTACAGTATGGGTTATTTAGCAGCTTCTCAGTAAATAAATAGAAGTAACTAAAATAATTGTCATACTTTTTTACAAAATTTTAACGTTTTGTATGTTTTATTCAATTTAGGATTCTCACTGTTGAAGAAAAGAAGAAGATAGGGCATCTTTGTAAACTGCTGATTGATCAAGGCCGAGTTCAGTATTTACAGCACAAGGGATTCAGTCCTGCTTTACAGAACTATATAGACCCTTTGGTGTCTCTGGAAAATGTATTGTTAACGGCCTTACCAATTCCTTCTTCTTCACTACAAACAACTGGTTAATGGAAAAGAAATTCAGATATCTCCTGTCTTCCACAAAAGAAAATTTTTACACATACAAAAATATACATACCAGACAATACAAACTTTATAAATACTGTAGCCTCATTAAACTTTGGCAAAACATTGTTTTTTTACTTCAGAAGTCCAGAGAATTCACCAAATTCTTAAAGTAATCCTCTTCACCAGGGCATTTTGAATTACATTATCCATCAGTATTTATAGACATTAATAAAGCAGTTGAACAGTTGACTTGCTGATCTGAAACAAACATAACACACCAAACACACAATTAACATATGAACTTTCTATTTGCATTCATTTGGGAAATTTATTTTCCTTTTGTTTTATTTCTCAAGCTCAAAATGTTAACTATCAATTGTGAGTTTGTAACAAATGCCAATCTGAATATTTGGCTTTCCATGTGGATGTTTTTCTATGCAGATCTTTAAAGGCTAATCAGTTGTGCTGGACATTGGTGGCTTATGCTTGTAATCCTAGTTACTCAGGAGGCTGAGATCTGAAGACCAAAATTCAAAGCTGGCCTGGGCAGGGATTCCATGAGACTCTTACCTCCAGTTAACCACCAGAAAACCACAAGTGGTGCTGTGGCTCTAAAGCTCAGGGACTGTGCTGAGGTCCTGAGTTCAAGCCCCATGACTAACCAAAACCAAAAACAGATGATCAATTTGTGATTTTTTTCAAATGCAAACAAATTCTGACATGTTTACAATCAGTAAATGAAATCATCTTCAAACATCTGTACGGTATTACCAGAATTTGTCCATTATAAACACCATCTGAAGAGATTCTTTCATAAAAAGGGAAAAAAAACTTTCACTTTTTTGTTAGATAATTATCCAGTTAGAACTTCCCAAATGATACTTAAAAGCGTTAATTACAAATTAAATTTGAAATTTATAAATAACGCTTGAAATTATCTATGCATCGTATCTTTTATCAGGCCAATTTTGACAAATGGTAAGCACAAAAAATAGGTATATTCTCTCCAATTTGAGAAAGTAATTTGGAATAAAATAGAATTAGATGATGAAACCAAAAACCTCACATTTAAGCATTATTTACCTAATAAGTAGTTTCTATGCACAAGCAAATAATAAACCAAACATAGAAGTGACTGTTACTCTTTAACACATCTATTGTTCACTTGTTTCTATATCTGTTTGTAAAAATGGTTTTAATTATTAGTGCATATTCCAGAATCTAAAATTGTAGAAAATGGAATGCTAGCAAGATAACTATAATCTTAGCTCAGTTTTAATTCTGGACCTTTCTAGTCTAATATGTCATCACACTGCCTAGGTTCAAATTCCAACCTTACCACCTCTCAGCTGTGTGACTTTGGGCAAGCTACTTCATCCTTTTGTGCCTCTGTGTTCTCTTAAAATGAGGATGATTCTAATAATAAAACCTACCTCACAACTTCATTGCGTGCACATAAAATGTTTAGAATATTTTCAGGCGCACAGTAAATATTCAACAAATATTAACAAATGATGCTAATTCTAGTAATTCAGGAATGGATCTTTAATAACAGGTAGGCTTTTAATACTTATGTTGTTTTTTTCTCATTGTAAGTTATGTCAAATATTATTAATGTATGGTACTTTGATTAGTTTTTGTTAGTTACTCAGTCTCCAATCAATATAAAGAAGATGACATGTCATTTAATACTTATTTTACTGAATCATAGATGTTAATTTATGTCCTAAGATTTGTATCATTGAACAATTTATGCCCTAAAATAAAAATTATCCTACAGTAGACATAATCTTTCTCTTTTTTTCCTTTTTTTTTTTTTTTGTAGTGCCAATACTGGGGCTTGAACTCAGGGCCTTGCACTAGCTCTTGGCTGTTTTGCACAAAGTTGGCATTTTACCACTTGAGCCACACCTCCTCTCCAGACAAAAGTCTGTTATGTTTAATCCAAGAACTAGCATGTTTCAGTTCTGAGCCTTATTTAGCTTAATAGTGTTTGTGATAATGATAAGAATACTTTATCCTCAGATCCCAAACTCCTGGAAGTGGTGCTGTGGCTTAAGTGCTAGAGCACTGGCCTTGAGCTGAAGAGTGCCAATGCCCAGAGTTCAAGCCCCACGACCGATTCAAAACAAAACATTATCAAACTGAGTAGCTAGGATTACAGGAATAAACCACCACCACCTGGCTTAGAGCTATTTTTTGTTGATCATCCTCCCAACCTGTCCTGTGATCTTGTCTACAAGATCTAATGACTATTCTTTTTGTGATGCTGTGGGTAAAACTCAAGGCTTTAGGGATGCTAGGCAGGTACTCTACCAGGGCACTATATCCACAAGCATCCTCCTAAGCATCCTCCACTGGAGATTGGCAAAAATGACTGCCTCTTTAGAAAAATGGTTATTGGCTGATAACACTTTTCAAAGTAGTTACATTTAGATGGGCTAAAGTCTATCTGTTAAGTCAAAACCTCCACATTTTGGTGATTTGTAAAGCCATAATTTTTATTACTAAGCTATCACTTCACAGATAATTGTGCTCATTGTTTCATTCCCCTAATCTTGGCTTAAAAGCTTTATTTCCTTAATGAAAACATTACATCTTAAATTATAAGAGATTAAGTGATTACACAATTTATATCAAAACCTCATTCTAAGTCATGCTGTAGACTCAAGCCTGTAATCTTAGCTACTCAGGAAGCTGAAATCTGAGAAGCATGGCTCAAAGCCGGCCGGCCAAGGCAGGAAATTCCATGAGACTGGTATCTCTGATTAACTACCAAAAAGCTAGAAGTGAAGCTGTCACTGAAGTGGTAGAACACAATCCTTGAGCCCAGAAACTCAGGGATAGCATGCAGGCCCAGGATTGACACCAAAAATCAAGCCCCCCCCCAAAAAAAACAACCTCATTCTAATTGTTGATTAAAATCTGTGTCCTATGAAAATTTTCATGTTTGAGGTTGGTGATGTAACTACAGAGCACTTGCCTCTGCCTGGCGTGTGTGTGTGTGTGTGTGTGTGTGTGTGTGTGAAGAGAAATTGAATGGGTAATGGATGACTTCTTCATTCAATTGATAATGCTTCAAGTGCCTGCTCAAAGAATTTCTTTCCTGACTCCACTTGAAAATGTGTGAATACAACTTTTATTTCCTCATTTTTATCCAAGTTTCCATCCAAGTTCCACTTCCCTCATTTTTCTCCTACAATATTGGCGAAGAGTCTAGAAAAAGTAAGATGGAATGAGAAATCCATAAAGAAATGATAGAAAAGTTAACTATATACACATATTACCAAAAAAGATTGGTGTACAAATCTCCTACCTGCTTTCCGTGACTCCTGTATGTATGTATGCATAAACTGAAGGCCAAATAGTTCCTGGTCCTCCTCTTCATCTGTGCATGCACTGGGAGGAAGTGTTACTTCCAGTTTCAGTGGGTTGTCTCTGAAGTTGACAAACCTAGCAATTCACCAAAAACAGTATTTTTTTATAGGTGCTATAGAAATGTACATTTATTTTCCTAGAGAAAGATCAAATGATTAGTTTCAGTGACTGAATATTTTGGTGAGATATGATATATCCCAAGAATCTTTACATTGCCTAGAAAAAAAATACTAGCTTTAGGTAACTTATTGTTGCCAGTGAGATTGTGTGTGTGTGTGTATGTGTGTGTGTGTGTGTGTGTGTGTGTGCCAGTCCTGGGGCTTGAACTCAGGGCCTGGGTGCTGTCCCTGAGCTTTTTTGCTCAAGGCTAGCACTCTTACTACCTAAGCCACAGCTCCACTTCCACCTTTTTTTTGGGTGGTTAGTTGGAGGGAAGAGTCTCTCAGCCTTCTAGCCTGGGCTGGCATAAAAGCACAATTCTCAGATGTCTCCTGAGTAACTAGGCTTTACTAATGAGATTTCTTAGCAGTATAAAAATATTTTTCATAAACAGGTCACCAACATAAGCTATATCTTAAGACTGAGAAATCCCAATACTGTTTACGTTTGATCATTCTTCCTTGAATAAGACCAACACTGCATGAACCTGATCCATCAAATTATAGAATTTCATTAGAGAAGGCTTTGAATTTATTTATTTATTTATTGCCTGTCGTGGGGCTTGAACTCAGGGCCTGGGCTCTGTCCCTGAGCTTTATTGCTTAAGGCTCGTGCTCTTCCGCTTTGAGCCACAGCACCACTTCCTATGCATTTTTTTAACTTTTTAAAAAATCTTTTCTTTTTTGGCACTGCGGATTGTACCCAGGATGTTGCATTTGCTAGGCAAGTGCTTTGCCACTGAACTATATCCCAGTCTGATTGGAGGTTTTGAGAAGATACGCATCATATAAATTAGAACCCAAATTTATTAATCATGGTCTCTAAGTATTTGTTGTGTGGCCAAAAATGACATGTTAGTTTTCTATCTACAACTCATTACCTCAGATTTGCCATTTCTTCCATGCATGCTGGAATATCTTTCAATTTATTATTGCTGAGAACAAGAGTACCCAGATTTTTCATGTTGCTGATTGCTTCTGGTAAGCATGTTATTTCATTCCTCTGTAGCCATAATGTATGTAGATTTTGCATTCTGGAGAATTAAAAGAAGTTTCTATGATCAGTCACATTATATAAAATCTGGGTTTTTGTTACCTGAAAAAATAAAAGAAATTGAGCCACTGTGCACCAGTGCCTATAAACTAACTACTCAGCAAGCTGAGATCTGAGGATCTCATTTCAAAGCTAACCTGGGTAGAAAAGTCTCTCCAATTAACTACCAAAAAAAAATCTGGAAATGGAGCTATGACTTAATGATAGAGCACCAGCCTTGAGCAAGAAAGCTAAGCACCCTAGGCTCTGGGGGCGGGGGGAGGTAGAGAGAGAGAAAGAGAGAGAGAAATCTCATGTTTGCAGTGTCTCTTTGAATCAATATACTTACTGATTTAACTGACTTTACAATACCTGAATAAACTACATTACAGAATTAATCTTCAAAAAAATTAACCTTCTAGCCGGGCACCGGTGGCTCACGCCTGTAATCCTAGCTACTCAGGAGGCTGAGATCTGAGGATCACGGTTCAAAGCCAGCCCGGGCAGGAAAGACTGTGAGACTCTTATCTCCAACAAACCACTAGAAAACTGGAAGTGGTGCTGTAGCTCAAGTGGTAGAGTGCTCGCCTTGAGCTGAAGAGCTGAGGGACAGCGCCCAGGCCCAGAGTTCAAGCCCCACAACTGACCAAAAAAAAAAAAAATTAACCTTCATAGTACTATGCTCCCATGGTAGTAGAAATGAAATCAACATATTTTAGAATTCTTCACAGTTGTCACAATTTTCTTAGTGTTGTAAATGTTGCATAAGTCTGAGTCTAAAGAGACAAGTCATAAATTATTACCAAGCCTAGTCAGAGTAAAGGTGGTATGCACAATGGTTAACAGCCTGGATGCTGGCCAGAACGCCTACTAACTGACATTGGAAGTGTGAACTAACGTTCTCTGCATTTGCTCCCGTGTCCTTTTGTAAAGTACATAAAAATGCCTGGCATGCACTCAACCATGTGGGTAACATGGTGGCATATTTTTGCCAAATGCCAAATTTTTGCACAACCAGTTTTTCCACTCCCTAAACCCTTTTACATATTTGGCATACATGAAAACGTTCTGTGGCAAGCCAGCGTATTTTAAAGTCCATGAGTGTATTGTGATCAACAATGCGTGGGGGCTCCCCTTTGAGTGGTTCAGTCTGTTTTCAGTTCTTATTTTCCATAGGTGGTTTTAAGGCATTGGTTAGTAGCATTCAAAAGTTATTCAGTTTACCTTTCTATGGTTTCAGGAAGTTGCTCAAGTCTGTTGCTTCCCATATCTAGCCACTCAAGCGCAGGCATGTTCAACACAGCGGGAGGGATGGTAGTAAACTGGTTCATACTCAGATCGAGGTGAGTGAGTTTGAACAGCTTGCTGAGCTGCAGGAGAAAGCAAGGCGTTTCAAACCACATCTACCATGTGAATTCCTGGAAGGTTCACCCTGATCCAGGAGCAATTTGACATTGAGGGATGTTTGCATTACATTTGAGTGTCCATCATAGTAGTTCACAACCAATTGGAAAGTAAAGCTGAGTGACTTTCCAGTGAAATAAAAAATTATCATACAGACAGGCACTCCTGTATTTGCTAGCTATTCATGAGGCTGAGATCTGAAGATGGAGGTTCAAAACCATCACAGGCAGGAAAGTCCATGGGAGTCTTATCTACAAATAACCACCAAAAAGATGGAAGTGGCTCAAGTGGTAGAGCGCTAGCCTTGAGCGCACGCGCGCACACACACACACACATACACACACACATATATACATGCATACATATATATATATATATATATATATACACATATATACATATACATATATATGCATATGCTTGGGTTCAAGCCCCAGGACTGGTACCAATATATGTGTGTGTGTGTGTGTGTGTATACACTATATAATATCTATTATATAACATATTGCTATATATAACATACAAATTGCATCTACTCAGAGCTGGGGATAGTGGTGGAGCATGCACTTAGCATGTGTGCAGTCTAGCACAAAAGAGGAGAGAAGGGGTGGGCGGGAATAAATCTAGCCAACGGAAATTCATTTTCCAAACTAACCAAATACCAATATTAACAGGACCTTCATGCTCAAGCTTTTTCTTGGCTCTATGAGTAAGCATGTATCATCAAGTTTTACTTTCATCCATATATCAGCTTTACTGCTTGATAATTATAGTTTCTAAATAAACCCTCAAAAAATATTAGTGGTGACACACACCTGTAATCTCCTCTACACAGGAGGCTGAGACCTGGAGGATTGTGTTCTGAAGCCAGCCCTAACAGAAGAGTCCACAAGACTCCATCTCCAAAATAACAAGCAAAAAGCTGGCTTGGCTAAATGGGAGAATACCAGCTCAGCAAACAATCAAGCTGAGAAAGTGCAAGGTACTGAGTTCAAAGCCTGAAACCAGCAAATATATGCAAATATACATACACACACATACACACACATAACACATAGTAGGATACTGAAGGAGCTAAGGAGAGAGTTCTCAGAAGAAGAGGTAAGAATGACAAAGAAACATGTGAAGAAGTGCTCAGTATCCCTGTCCAGAGAGGAAATGCAAAGCAAAACAACTCTGAGATTCTATCTCACCCCAGTTAGATTGGCCAACATTTTGAATTTGAACAGCAATAAACGTTGGTGGGATGTGGGGAAAAAGAACCCCTATTGCACTCTTGGTGGGAATGTAAACTAGTACAGGCACCCAGACAGCAGCCTGGAAGTTCCTCAAAAAACGAAACCTAAATCTTCCCTACAAGCCAACCATACCACTCTTGGACATCTAATCCAGCACATCAGGACCCAGGATACTGGAAAGACACTTGCATACCATGTTCATTGCTGCACTATCCACAATAGCCAAGCTATGGAAACAAGTCAGCTGCCCTGCCATAGATGAGTGGATCCAAAAAAATGGAGTACCTGTACACAATGGGATTTTACACAGCCATTATTATGTCATTTTCAGGGAAATGGATGGGCCTACAACAAATCATGTTGAGTGAGGTAAGCCAAGCTCAAGAGACAAATGAAATGGCAGGTTTTATTTCATATGCAGAAGCTAGATCTAAAATACAAAGGGGGCCAGATGCCAGTGGCTTATGCCTGTTATCCTAGCTACTCAGGAGGCTGAGATCTGAGGATCCAGGCACAAAGCTAGCCCTGGCAGGAAAGACACTAATCTCAAATTAACCCCTCAAAAACTGGTGAAGTGAAGGTATGGCTCAGTGCTAGAGCACTAGCCTTGAGCAAAAGAGCTCAGGACAGCACCTAGGACCTGAGTTCAAGCATCTCAACTGACAGATGCCTATGTACATCTGATTATTCAAAATAATATTTATTGGAATGAACTCCAGGAAATGGAGTTCTTGGTTGTGATTTTATTTTCTTTTTGTCTTGTTTGTACATTTACCCATCTTTGGAAAAGTAAGGGAGGGTATAGAAATGGGCAGGCAAATAGTGAACAAATGCAGCAGTGATATTCACTAGATACTATGCTGAAAATGAACTATACAACTTGTGGGAGGGGATGGAAGAGAAAAATTGGGAGAGAGCAAGGGAAAGGGTAAAATTATCTAAAAAGAAATGTACTCATTACCTGACATATAACTGCAACCCCGCTGTACCTAACCTTTATAATAACAACAAATTTTTAAGTAGTAGGACAATACCAGTATTCTCAGTTTTTTTTAAACAAAAACCGAATTGATATGACAGTTTCCAGTCTACTCCTCCTTACTTCATACAATTGGCTATGTGTCATTGCTCTGCATGATTTTCAGTTTTTATTAGTGTAACTAAGTGCTTGTTTGGTAGCCAGTACTGCGGCTTGAACTGAGGGCCTCTCACTTGGCTCTTTTGTTCAAAACTGGTACTCTACCACTTGAGCCACACCTCTACTTCCTGCTTTTTTTGATGGTTAATTGGAGAGAAGAGTCTCAGACTTTTGACACAGTTCTTCAAGCCATGATTCTCCAATCTCAGCCTCCTGAGCAGCTAGGATTATAGATGTGAGCTACCAGCACCTGGCTTTTTTTTCTTTTGAATTTTATTATTTTATTATTTTTTCTTAATTCTGTCTGGATTTCAAGGAGATAGCAATCTAAATATATCAATATTTATCAACAAAATATATCAATACTATGACAATAATGGAATTACCTTTTGTGTTACAAATATTTTTCTTTAATTGAAAAGCTGCAATGTAGCTTTCTAAATAGTATTTTTTATTGTGAAAATACTGTACAGAGGGGTTACAATTACAAGATAGTCAGTACATTTCTTATCAATCATTGTAGCCTCCTCCTTTGTTTACCCTTCCCAGCCTCCCCTCTCCCCCCCCACCCAATCCTCCCCCCCCACCAAAGTTGTAAAGTTCATTTTCAACATGACAACTTGTACTTCTTCTAAATAGTATTTTTGACATAAGATTTCTAGCCTTTCCTTGTGAGTTTTCTTTTTTCTTTTCCTTCCTTCCTTCCTTCCTTCCTTCCTTCCTTCCTTCCTTCCTTCCTTCCTTCCTTCCTTCCTTCCTTTCCTTCCCTTTCTTTCTTCCTTCCTTTCTTTCTTTCTTTCTCTCTCTCTCTCTCTCTCTCTCTTTCTTTCTTTCTTTCTTTCTTTTTTCTTTCTTTGCCAGTCCTAGCACTTGAACTCTGGGCCTGGGCACTGTCTCTGAGCTTTTTTTGCTCAAGGCTAGCACTCTACTATTTGAGCCACAGTACCACTTCTGGATTTTTCTGTGTATGCAGTACTGAGGAATTGAAGCCAGGGTTTCATGCATGCAAGGCAAGAACTCTACCACTAAGCTACATTCCCAGCCTGTGAATTTTCTTTTTTAACATATAATGGAGAAGTAAACTACTAGTAGATAGAAAATAATAGGATAAACACTTAGATTTTTCTGACCTCTTGTGGAAGATCACATATATCTCTGTTGACAGCCAGTTCTAGTTTCTCCAAGCTGGCACAATTACTTAGTTCCTTGGGGACAGTTTTGATTTTGTTGTAGCTAAGAATCAGTTCTTGAAGTCTAGTAAGTAGTCCTACAAAACAAAATAAAACAAAACATAGTGGAAAACAGATGAACAACATGTTTCTAGCTACAATGAAGTATTATAGGGCAGATTTCATATATAATTCACAGTTTTGTTTTTTTGTTTGTCGGTCGTGGGGCCTGAACCCTGGGCCTGGGTGCTGTCCCTCAGCTCTTTACCTCAAGGCTAGCCCTCCACCATTTGAGCCACAATGCCACTTCCGGCTTTTTCTGTTTATGTGGTGCTGAGGAATCGAACCTCAGCATGCAAGACAAGTACTCTACCACTGAGCCACCTTCTCAGCCCCTAATAAACAGTTCTTATTTTCTCCCTTTTTCCTTGTCAGTGCCCTGCCCCAACTTTAAACACAGGAAAAGTGTTGGTGGTAGGAACATGACTATTTTCGTTGTTTTAACTAAACTACATAGCCTGGGCAGAAGGTAACTCAGTGGTTGAGCCCTTGCCTAGCATCTACCAGGCATGGGGTTTGAGCCTCAACACCAAAACCAAAATATATTGGGCAATTTTTCATTTGAAGGATTTTTTTCCCCCACTGTGCCATGAATTTTCATTTTCTTTCCCTCCCTCCTCCCTCCCTCATTCCCTTCCTCCTTCCCTCCCTCCCTTCCTTCCTTTGTTCTTTTTTGTGCCAGTATTGGGACTTGAACTCAAGGCCTTGTGCTTTTGCCTGGACTTTTCACTCAAGGGCCTGAACCCCATCTCCACATCTGGCTTTTTGCTGGTTAATTGGAAATAAGAGTCTCTTTTATTTGTCTGTCCAGGCTAGTTTCAAACCTCCTTCAGATCTCAGCTTCCTGAGAAGCTAGGATTCCAGGCATGAGTCACTAGCGCCACACTAAATGATTTTTATTGCCTTCAGCTTGTTGTAAGAGGAATAGCTAAATCAGCAATGTTGTTCCCGAAGCTGCCAAACAGACTTTTCTCATTTTGAAATCTCATCTCTCATTGCTCCAACTAACCCAGAAGCTTGCTTCCCTTGAGTTTCAATTAAGATGAAATGTTTTACAGTTTTCTTGCAACTTGGGGATATGTGTAGTCCACATACTTATAAAAAAAAAAACCAGCTAGATAAAATAGCACGGGAGTAAAAGCAATCTTTCTTACCAATTCCTCTTGGTATCTCTGAAATTGTATTTCGAGATAAATCTAGTACAATAAGATTCTGGAACCGTCCAATGAATTCAGGAATTTTCAACAAACCAGTTCTATGAAGTTGCCATTCCTGTAGTTGATTGAGTTTCAGTAAAGAAGAAGGGAGAGTCTAAAGTAAAAGAAAAGAGTCACTATATGACTTAAGTTAGATCATTGGCACACTGAGGTGTGATATTAATTAATTACTAAAAAAACACTTTGGAGCAGGGACTGGTAGCTCATGCCTGTAATATTACCTAATCAGGAGGCTGAGGTTTGAGGATCATGGTTCAAAGCCAGTCATATAGGAAATTCTGTAAGATTAATTTCCAATTAACCACCAAAAAGCAGAAGTGAGGGCTGGGAATATGGCTTAGTGGTAGAGTGCTTGCCTAGCATGTATGAAGCCCTGGATTCGATTCTTCAATACCACATAAACAGAAAAGGCTGGAAGTGGTGCTGTGGCTCAAATGGTAGAGTGCTAGTCTTGAATAAAAGAAGCTCAGGGACAGTGTGCTCAGGCCTTGAGTTCAAGCCCCAGGACTGGCAAATTTTTTTTAAAGCAGGAAGTGAAGCTAGGGTTCAAGTGGTTGAGCACCAGCCTTGAACAAACAAGCTAAAGGACAGGCTTTGCATTGAGCCTACAAAAAAAAAAGGACTTGGGAAATTTTTAACTTTTGTAGATAAAAAAAATTCCAAGTATTCTATGTTACTACTAAGTTCTAAGACCTTTACCTTTTTTTTTTTGCTAAAATTCAAACTCCAGTTATAGCATAATTAACAAAAGTGACATATCTTTGTCAATAATGTACACACATTGGAGTATATTGGAAGTGGCACTGTGGCTCAAGTGGTAGAGCGCTCACCTTGAGCTGAAGAGCTCAGGGACAGCACCCAGGCCCAGAGTTCAAACCGAACAACTGACAAAACAAAAACAAAAACATTGGAGTATGTCTCAAACTTCTGTTCTACTAGGCTTTCATAAAGTCAATGGACTATTAAAATCAAGAATATTCAGCCAGGTGCCAGTGGGTCACACCTGTAATCTTAGCTACTCAGAAGACTGAGATCTGAGGACCATGGGTTAAAAGCCAGCCCAGATGGACAAATCAATGAGACTCTTGTCTTCAGTTAACCACCAAAAAGTCAGAATGGGAGATGTGGCTCAAGTAGTAGGAAAAGACAAATTGGAGTTCAAGTCCCAAGACTGGCACATACACAAATAAATGAGATTATCCAAAAGATCTTAATCAGTCATTTAAACTTTTCTTCAGTTCAAAGTATCTTGAAAGTATTTTTTTGGGAGGGAAATTTTTTTT